CCTCCTTTTTTCTCACACTCACGTACACACGCCTCCAATAAATATCCCTTTTCATTTTACGGTACGCTTTTCTTTTCACCGTTAACACCATGGCTCTTATTCCTCTGCATGTTTTTATTCCCTAAATCATTAATCATATTACATATTATAAACTTATAATGATTAATTCGGTCTAAGTAGGGCACGGCAATTTAATTTTAGTACAATCCAGTTGATGACTTGCTTTGATCCGCGTGTTGGCTTTGGAGCTTGCCCGATCCATCTGCCTCCCTGATAGGCCCATACTCGGGACAAGCGTAAACGGTGGCTCGTTGCAAGCTCGTCGGAGAAGCAGTGAGAGGCAGCCCTTTTCTTATTTGATTCATTCGCTTTACGCTTCACTCATCGCCGCGTCCGAATACGAAAATCAGAAGAAGCTAGCAAAAATCAGAGTGGCATTGTACGAATTGTATTGGGGACAATCTTAATTGACAATGGTTTTCAAAGGTTATGTGTGGTCGTAAAGTTTCTCACCCAAGAATAAAGGCAAGCCATGCTTAGTCGATCGATTGCACTTGAAGCCCCCGGTCGTGGGAGCATTCACCTTCCATGCAGGCTGCTCCCCTGCGGACCGCTCTCGTCACGTGTTGTTTATTGACAACTTTCTGGCTTGCTCTGCAGGCCACACCGGCGGCTGTTCCATGTATCGCCCTTGACGGCAACGATTATTTATATCAACTTTTGAAGGGATCAAAACTATTACTATAAAAAATGACTACGGATTTTTGTTAAGAATCTACAAAAAACGATAATACATACTTTTATTTTTGAAAAATAAATATTTTCACAGAGAAAAATATGAAGTGAGGCGTGTAACACACGTCACGCAAACCCACGAAAGAATAGAACCAATAGAGGCCTTGCAAAACGAGTCACTTCTCTCCAAGCATTTCGTGATTCGCCGTGGTGCATTGAAAACCTCCACAGCCAATCACTTTGAAAGCGTCTATTATAGCTGTAGGTAAGTTTACCATTACATTGTTTTCCTTTAATTGTTGTCATATTGTAAACAAACATTAAATGGTTCATTTCTTTTATCCATGTATTTGAGATTGACCGAGGTACAGCAGGCCGCATGAACGATCGACCGCTGTGGCGCTGGCTCTCGACAGACCACCATGTTTTTCAGACTGTTTCTTTGTTCGCTGGTTGGCCCAGGTTTGCGCAGTAATTTATGCAGATTTACGAATGGCAATGGCCGTGTGAGTCTCGGACCAGCAGCCCTATCGCAAAGCACCTCCCTGCTTGTTGAGAACACTTTTGATTGTTCTAAGCAACCAGTAGGATTTTGATGGTTGCGACTATTTGTAAGTACACATTTCCACGTGTTACGCTACCAAGTGACAGACGTTTGATAGTGACAACTTTTAATGCATCTTTATTTGACAGCAAAGATGTTCTTTTTGCAACCCGGATGGAGACGCAACGCGTTTTTTCTTTGCTGCCAAGCAAGACATGACTCTCGGGTCTCACAGACTTGTGCTTCACCTGTTTGTCAAACGCTCCCAGCTTATTCTTTCACCTAAACGATTTTATGTTTATGTACTCTCAGTTCTTAAAAATAACATTCTTTTTTGTTTGTCCTGTTCATTTTGCTGTGGCTGTATTGTTCTCCTTTGTGTTCTAACACAGTACTGTCTTGAGTCTTGGGTAGATCTAGGATCGCGACTCGCCAACCTTTGTTGTCTTCTCGCCCGGTGTCTCCACTACTTCGAGCTCTCAAACTTGTATAAACAATGCAATCGCTCTCTGTTGTTTTATTGAAAAATCTCTGCATCGCTGTCTCCGATGTTGCACGTAAATGCGATTTTTGTGTCTTTTGGTCTTGGGTCGAATGAATGGTGTGTTTTATTCTTCCCAAGTCCAAGTCGCTCTAGCCTAGATTCTAGACAGTCGAAGGCCCAACCACCCTACATCAGTTAGCCAGCTAGATTCTCAAGTAGTCTAGTGCAGTCTCATGACACTCTCATAGGCCCTAGATCTAGTAGTAGAATTCTAGATCTAGATGTAGTCAAGGTCTAGGCTCATTCTTTTTGTCGGCCTGCGGATGCACAGAGAGGGCGAATCTTACCATTTTGAATTTGATAGATCTAGAATCTAAATAGTTTTAAATAAGGAGGCAAATAGGCCAGCTCTCTTTCTCTGAAGGCTCGGGAAAATAAACTTGAACTCTATTTCTCCAAACGGTTTACGTTCTCGAGATTTGGGTGCTTTTTCAGTAGTTCCCACCACCCTTACTTGAGCCTAGATCTAGATTCTCAACATTTAGTAGATCTAGATCTATACGTTTGATGGGCGGTGAGCTAAGATATCAAACCTAACAACTGCAAAACATCAAATTATTTTATGGTAAAATCAGGGGGAAACCCCATTAAAATTTTTGTTAGGTCAGGGGGGCCCTGAAACCCCCCTACTCTTGGGGCCAAAAGTCGCAAACAATTGCGGGGTGGGAACCACCGAAAAAGCGCCGAGATTTATTGGTTATTTGCGAATGGAGTGGCACAGACGCATGTGTGTGTGTGTGTGTGTATAAGGTGTGTTGGGGGGATTTTTTGTCGCTGTACCTTTTGAAGGCATTTTGAAATGAAGTATAATCCGACGTGGCCTCAACCACAATTAAAGTATCTCTGAATATTTTTCAGACATTAAAAAATCTCTCGCTCTAGAAATTGAATTCGAGGCAAAACATTTTTCCACAGTCCTGGCAGAATGAAAGATTACGCCGAGATCTCTCATATGACCAAAAAATCTCTAAAACAAACCGTTTTGAGAAATAGAGGTCAAGTTTATTTTCCCGAGCGTTCGGAGAAATAGTCACTTTGTTTAAATAAATCAGATTCCCTTTCTGAAATCCTGGTTTTAGTTACCAGTGTTTGAAAATATCAGTTGCACTAGCTAGATTCTAGATCACCAAGCCTTGAACTTTAAATTACATTATTTACTGTACGTTTTCATGTCGTTTTCATTACAGTTTTATTGTTAGATCTACAGTCAAACCGTGATACAGCTGTAACTTAATGGACTAAAGTTATTTAAGAGTGTAACACTGACTGATTGCCATTTTGACTAGTGGTAGACTAGTAAAGGTTAGAGACTAGGGACAAACGATGGCTCGTCTTTCGTGTTGTCCTGTCTTTTTTCATGATTGTCATATGCAGAGGAAGAAAAGGAGTAGGAAACAGTTAATGTATAGCGACCCTGTAGATGTAGCCTACAGTTTTTTGTATCCGATACTTGTCAGTCCTTGGCCCTCCTTGGACCTTTCATGTAGACTTGACTTGAGTGTGAGTCCTGGCAATATGATGAAAACCTTAAAGGCGCAAACCAGCCTATCGGTCATCGATAGAGATTTTGCGGGCAAGCCGAGGTGGCTCAGGTCCTTTGGATTTTTTCCGGGCGATTTTCATTCCTTTTTTTTAAAACTTCTATTTTTAATTGTGCTTAAAGTCTAGAAAAACTAGCATTTTCATAAATCCGTGCAAACGAAGAGCAAATTGATAAAAAAAACCTGCCAGAAATAGGCCAAACTCGCTGAGATTTTCAAGCATCCACCGAGTGTTATGTGGGGTTTGTGTGGTACGTATCTCTGGCGACCAATTCGCTAGTGGTGTGTGTGAGGGTGGGGGTGGCGGATGATTTATGTAAGTTTAATAAGGACGTACAACTCAGATACTTAACGGCTGGCGGTGTAAAGGCACAATTGGGTTTGTAGGCGTTCTTTTTCATACATTGGCAAAACCAGGCGATAAGCAGAGCTGTTAAAGTACTTTTAAAAAGGTACTTAAGTACAAATTTAAGTACAATCTAAAATATGTACTTAAGTACAGCAAAAGCACTTTCCTTTAAGATGTACTTGAGTACAAGTATTTTAAAAAAAAGTACATATGAGTACATTTTGAGTACTTTCTGCTAATATATATATGCTAAAACACTCTACAGTGCTAATGCAAAACATCATTTCTATCCAGTATATTTGACAAATTAGGCCATTTATTACTAAAAATATAAACAGTATACAAAGCATTTGAATATACGCACTGAACGTAGGTGGAAATGGTCCATGAAATTGAAAAAAACTAAACAAACAAACGCAACTAATGAGTAAGTGATATTATGAATAGAACTTGTTTGAGTAAGACAATATGATCAAATGTAATTAAGTCAGTCCAAGAGTTCGGAAAGTTTTACAGAAAAAGTATCCAAATTGGAAAATATAGAGACAAAGTTGCTCTTAAGAAAACTTAAAATTGATGAAAATGACCAGCAAAGAAATGGAAAAATACATTGAATTCTTCATTAACAAATCACCAAGGAATCAACATTGCCTTAAGCAAAAACCACCAAGAAAGTTACAAATTTAGGTAGCCTAAAAATGGTCAGATATACATTGACATGAGGCATGCCATACACTCATTCGTGAGTCTCGAGATCTTTATCTACGTTTATCCAGTTGCCCCTCCCCTTTACCTGTCCAAAAATGTTTGCCTTCCATCTCTGATTGAGTCCCCCCGCCTTTGTCGTTATGCACCATTACCGGTACGTTGTGACAACAGCAATTAAAATTCAGGCTGTCTCACAAATTCGGGAATAGAGAAAAACTGCCTTCAATGGTCAGGGAAGAGTTCACAGTTTGATGTGATCCTGCCTGGAGCCCTACCCACCCTGCGAGTGATGTAAGCTTAGGTGGCGATCTCTGATGCGAGTGATGTAAGTTTAGATGGCGATCTCAGATGCGAGTGGGGTGTTTGGGGAAAAGAAACCTCGGTGTGATCCTGTCTGGGGCAAACATTGTATCATTTCATTGAGTTTTACAACGCTTGTAAAGTGTGATCACATTCACGAGAGTGGCTGATCTTTGACGCAACGGGTAGTTCTTTGATCTCCACTTTTAACTCTTGGTTGATCGGCTGTGCCCGCCCGGGTGTTTATTCCGTAAATTATGATCAGAAATGCCGGCACTTACTCTTTCACTAAGCCTCAAAAGTACTCAAGATGTACTTTAAAAATACAGTGGAACCTGTGTAAGACGGAGTCACAAGGGATCCAGAAAAATATTCCGTCTTAGACAGGGGAATTTAAGGGGAGATCGTGATTGGGGGGAGGGGGGGGGGGTTTAAAGGCCCAGCCGGTGGGATCAAAGATCACTTGTCCGATCAGCAAGCAGTGGTCAAAACTTCACACCTCTCTATTGCTATCCTGTCTGATAATGACATGTGTCAGTCTTAATTATATTTACCACCAGTGCTTGCCTTTCATAGGACCACTGCTTTACCTCTCCTTTGATTCCACCCTTAGCCCCACCCACCAATGCCACCCCTCACTGCCATGATGTAACAATGATTCAAGGAACTCTTTTCTCTGCTGGCCGTACGATCAGGACGGCAGACATTGGTCAATCTAATTTCACACCTCTGGCTTCTTGCTACCCAGGAAAGTTTCTGTAGTGGCTCGCTACTTGAGCACTCTCACGGGAAGTCGTGAGATTTCACACCCACACTACACTGACCATTTGCATCGCTCAGGGCTCACATGATAGGGTAACATCTACCCCCAAATTGCACCCCTACTCCTCTTCCTCCCCAGCAGCATAGCCATAGCGTTAAGTTTAGAGCCGGCGGAATCAAACTTGCGAGTTTTGTTTCAAATCAAGGTTGAGCGTGCAAAGCATTTTCCGTCTTAGATAGGTGAAACCCTCGGAAGGGAGCGGATTTTTCTTTCCGTTTGCACATTGGACAGGTTTCCGTTTTATACAGGTAAATAAAGAGGAATATATCAAGGGGGGAGCGGGGAGATTCCATTAAGACAGGTTTCCGTTAAGGCAGGTTCGACTACTCAAAAAGCACTTTAATAAAAAGTATTGGAGTAGAGTAAAAGTACTGGTTCTCAAAAATGTACCAGAGTACAGTAAAAGTACCGAAAATTGTAATGTAAATACAAGGTACTTGTACTCCCTTACAACCAGCTCTGGCGATAAGCGGGGGTGGCGGTATAATAGGGGGAAGTATGGTGAGGTTTGACTGTATTTCAATAAATTGAATTTAAGGTCATCAGTATTGGAGGTTTGAACTGGTTTTGGGCAGTACAGCTAGCGATATCAGCTTTATGCATCATCACGTGGGACATGACCATGTTCTGTTGCACAGTAAAATTGTAAATGGACTGATTCATCAATGTCATGCTCATAACTGCCGGAATTGCAACAGGGAACTGCTGCTTTTTCTTTCCTCATCCTTATTATCGTCAATTTCCTCTACTTCATTTGTATGTTTGTCACTCTCTTGTGACCCGCTATTTGCGGGGTGCCTTGATAGTCGAAGCAAACTTTAAGCTGTTGAAGCTAGAGAGGTGAGCAGGGTAAGCCCAATTCCCTGTAAGGACTTCTCTGTTGGTATCCATCCCTTGGCGCTCATATGACCTTATGCAGTTGCGAGCGCCCTAAAACCTCTACTAAAACTAAACGTAAATTTAAAGTAACTCTGATTTCCACTGCTCTTACATTAAAGTCGTCGGGTGACATATCTGACAGTGTACGAAGTCTCCCTACTACTTGGGGGTTGTGTAGGAAACATGTTCATGAAACAGATATCCATAAAACTAAGTTTATTTTCATAAATTTAGTATGTATTACAAACACCCAAAGGCACAGACGATTTTGTGAAAAAACTGGTGCACTATTATGTTTCCTTCACCGCAGATGCAAGGGTTTGCACAATGAGTAGTCGTACAGCATGCTAAGCCTTGGGTGCCTCTTTAAGTGAATCAGTGACAAAGTGTGTACTATCAATAGTTCTGTGGGAATTGACTTTTCTGAAGCCTCCCCGCTCTCTTCTTTGACATGAACATTACAGTAGAACACGGTTATAGCGGGACATTTGGTTCCAGAAGAAAAATCCAGCTGTAGGCGAGTTCCCGCTATAGGAATTCAAAGGGGAAATTACTGAAAAATTTCTTATGATCCACATGATTACCTCCCTTCTATATCAATGAAATTTGTGCTTTTGATTAGTCTGCCTTTTTTTGTCAACTTCGTTGGTTATCTCAGCCTTTAATTCGAGTGAGAAGCATTTCCTTTTGTCTTTTTTGGAAGCCATCTTTTCCTCGGTCTCGTTGCTTGTGCTGTTTATCGTACCGCAAGGTGAACTGTAGAGCTGGTGAAGTGGATGCGTGCATATATATGCCTTTGGGCATCAACGATCGCAATTCAATGAATCAGGAATCACACACTACACGCTCTCCTCTTCTTTTACTTTTGGCCTAGCGTAGGCCTAGGCTTCGCACCATCTCTCCCCACCTGCCCCACCTCACTCATCACTGGAATGGCCAATCGCAACGCTGCACGGCTGACTGCCTGTTTTGAGTCCGCCTGCAGCCCCCCAACCCCCTTCCCCACAGCTACAGCTCGCTCGATCTCTCCGGCTGTATCCGAGTTCAGGCTTTTCCTTGCCCCGCTGATCCCGAGCTCAGGTAATTGAGTTTACAAAGAAAAAAAGGGGGATTCCGGTAAGGTCCTGCTGTAGTGGATGTTGCTATAGTCGTATTCTACTGTATCATGTTGGTTTTTTAAAAAATTACTGTCGGTATTGTTTGGTTTCATGTTACATTTTACATAGATTTGATGACGGGTTTTTTTTCTGCGTTTTTTTTTTTCAGATTATGGTCATCAATATTGTAACTTTGAGCTGATCTATAGTGAGAGAGAGCACTGGTTGAAATGACATGGACCTTCAACAGACTTCAGTTATGAACTTTGATCCAAACACATCCATGGGGCAGTATGTTCAAGCTCAGAACGCTCTGCAGAATTTCCAACTGCCACTGCAACAGCTTCAAGGCCAAGGCCAAATTCAAATGCCAGGACAGGTAAGATTTTGTCTCGTTGAAGGAAGAGTTCAATTACCTAGCTAAAAAGCTTTTTAAAAGATATTAAATTTTTTTCAAGGGTAAGGAATAACACACTTCATACCAGGGGTTGGCAAGCTATGACCGTTCACAGAGTTGTCTCTGGCCAGAGAAATATATGCTGTGATTTTATCCTATCCGTGCGCCCTGGAGTCATTTTGTACCCTTTTAGAATACTTCTAATACGAAGATCTCTATGAAAGTTTCAGTATTTCTCAAAAAATCATTTTGTCAGACTGCTATGCAAAGCGTACATATTGGATTAAAGAGTAAATTTCCTTTTTGGAAAGTGGTGGCTCAGAGTTCCCCACGTCGTATGGATACTATAGCAAAACACGACGTACGGATAGGGCTTAAAAAATTTTGTTTACTCACGTTCTTAATCTGCCGTAAGCTGACGAAACGCCTTTTTATATTCTCAGCAGTTTTGAGATGAAGAGTCTTTTTGTTAGCCTAACCATTGAAATAAGGCATCCTTCTGAAATTTGAATTCTAATTTATAAAAAAAACAAAAACAGTTTCGCTTTGATTTTTTTCAAATAAGTAGGATAACCGATCAGGCTTTAGATTTAGCAAATAAAAAAAATTGGGGGCCAAAAATGAAAATGGCCATTTAGTCAGCTTACGGCAGTATAATCATGAAGTTCTTTTAAAAAAAAGTACTGTCCAGAGCACTATGTCAAGTTTTTAAAGTAGAAGTAAAAGATGGGGCAATCTGGCTATATTTATAGCATAGTGGAAGCGGCCCAGATAAATTCTAACTCTTTTTGTTAATGTTACTATCAGAATGGTGAGAAAATACGAGATGCTATGAAAGGCAGGGGAAATGATTTATTTTCATTGTCCAATTTTGTGTGAGGAACTTTTGGGTAAATTTTTAAATTCACATGATAATGTTATCAGTGTCATCATTATGCCAGTGCAGTGTGTCTGTCTGGAATAGCTTTTACGATATCTCTCCATCATGGACAAAATAAGTCTCCCATGTACTACAACTTGATACAATTCTTTTTTTTTTTCAAATGGGTTTAATGAGATGGCAGAATTTCTGTTAATAATCGACAAGATATGTTTTTGTTTTGAAATGGACTATTGACAGGGTGCTCCCAAAAAAACGTAACAACTTGTTTTGTAAATATCTTCCTCCATACTGAAGTTTTGTGTTTGAGTTTTAAACATAACATTTGGAAGCCAAAAAGAATTTGTCATAATGTATTTTAGATAAGTCCATTGAATGGTTTTACTCTATATAGCGCATAAAAAAACAACCCATTTTCAACCTTGTCGCCATTTTCATAGCATGACGCACCAGTTCGCATTAGGCCTACCACTAAAATTTGCAACAGTTGTGCCATATTGCAAGCTACAGCAGTCTAACAAGTCAACAGAAGTCTGCAGATGTTATTTTTCCCAAATTTTGTTCGCCTGCTTAGATCTTGGTTACGTTTAGGACCAAAAGAGAGAGAGCCTTTTGTATTGAACATTACCTCTCCACAAACTCGCCATCCCTGACATTTCGTAAGTTCTGGGCACGGCATGGAGAGAATGCTTAGGTGCCCTCAAGACCTTTGGCGTCATGAGTAGAGAAGTTCTGTCAGTATAGATCTATAGCGAATCGGAACTAAAAAGTTCTTTAAAAAATGACCACTTTAGGTCGAACACGCACCTTGCGCAGCCCTTTAAACGTCACCAGAGTGTAGATTTCAGTTGCCGAGTCCCATGAGACATCTGTCCGTGGATGATCTGCGGCTAGGACTTCCCTACACCTCAACAGTCTGCATTCACATTGCTGATCTTAACCTACGACTATGTCATGTTCATCTTCGCTAGGCCGAGATGACATAGATCAGAGCATGGCAATGTGTTCATGATTCCTCGAATGTCTTGTAAAGAGGGATCATTTCCTTGATGACATCTGGTTTAGTGCAAAGCCCATTTTCACCCTGCGGGATATGTTAACTCCATAAAATGCAGTCTATTGGGCACCCCATTCTATTGTCTCTTGAAGCCACTTCTTAGTGAACATGTACAGTGTATGTGGCTTTAAAAACTCATGGTTTAGCAGGTCTTTGTGTTAGGGTGCCACTGAACCTTTCGAACGACGCGTTAAAAATGTGTCGAGTCCAAAGGAGGAAATGTGGAGCACTGCTTCTAGGAGTTTCAGAATGAAATCATTAGGTTTTTTACACTCTGTAAAAGAAATTAAATATTGTTTAAATGTCACAGGGATGGAAAATTAATGTCAAAGAGAAAATAAAGAAATAGGTCGACTAATCTTTTCATGACTTCCTTTACAAGAATTTTAAACATTGGTGAACTTTGCGTTTTTGTGTGCTTTTTTCTTGTAGCCGTTTCCGTTTTCAAAACATGTTTCTTCTTCGTGGATTTTATATCAAACGAATTCCTTTTGAATGAATTATGTCTGTTCCAAATTACAGCATTCTAAAATAATTTTTGCGCGAGATATTCAGAGAAAAAGTTGTAAAGTTTTTTTTTGATCAGCCTGTATTTATTTCTTCAGTCAAGCCCCATAATTATCATGAATGTCAAAATTAGAGAAATTTCAAAGGTGACTCGAACCCCTTTTGTCCCCCCCCCCCCCCCCCCCCCAACAACCCTCTCTTCCCTCTTTCTCTCTCTCTCTCTCTCTCTCTCTCTCTCTCTCTCTCTCTCTCTTTCTCTTCCACCAGTCAAGCCATGTGTGAGGTGTGCTCACAAAATGAGTAACTTCTCGCAGTCCACAAATGGAGATATTGTTGGCCAAAATTCGACACTGAAGTCAAATCTGTAGAATTTTAATTGATGTCATATTTTTTAACTATAACATTTCTTTTATTATTTCATACTCATAAATTACAAAAACTTCACCTATAAGCGTGATGTATCTATTTCCATAAGGTTTGAATCAGAGAAGTAACTACTCATTTTGTCAGGACGCTTTACATAAAGATGTCAAAGTTAGAGAAATGATAATGGTGATTTGTCTACCCCGCCTTTTTTTCCCTTTCTTTTTTTTTTTTTTTTCATTTTTCAAGCCCTTCTATTGAGATGTTACAATTAGAGAAAAAACTGCTAAAAGTTCCTCTGACCTCTTTTTGTTCTTCCAGCAGTTACCGCTGGTTCAGCTAGGCCAGGGACAGTTCATTCTGAACCAGAACCAGCTCCTCCAACAGCTGGGCCAAAACCAGCCGGTGCAGCTCCAGGCCCCGGGGCAGGCCATCCAACTGGCGGGTCAGCAGGGCCAGGCCATCCACCTGCCCTCCCTGCAGCAGAACCAGCACCTACAGTCGCTGCAGCTCCAGGGGCAACAGGGGCAAGCGCTGCAGCTCCAAGGTCAGGCTACGGCTGCCGCGGCCCAGCCCATCCAGATCCAAGGTCAGAACGGACAGACGATTCAGCTGCAGGGTCAGAACGGGCAGGCCCTTCAGGTTCACAACCAGAACGGGCAGCAGATTCAACTGCAGGGCCAGAACGGCCAGGCCATACATATTCAGAATCAGAACGGGCAGCACATTCAGATTCAGGGACAGAATGGTCAACCCTTACAGTTGCAAGGGCAGAATGGGCAACAGATACAACTCCAGGGCCAAAACGGACAACAGATTCAGCTTCAGGGCCAGGCCGGCCAGTCGGTTCAGCTGCCCAACGGTCAGACTATCCAGCTGAATGGGCAGAATGGACAGCTAGTGCAGCTGCAGAACGGACAGCCCTTACAGCTTCAGCCGCAGCAGCTGGCCCAGCTCCAGGGGCAACAGCTCCAGCTGCACAGTCAGGGTCAGCCGTTACAGCTGCAGAATCAGCTGGGCCAGGCTTTGCACGGGCAGCAGCTTCAAGCCGTCCAGCTTCCAGGCCAACAGTTGCAGCTGATGTCCCTCCAGGGCCAGCCGTGTCAGGTGGTTCATGTCCAGAACCCCAATGGACAGATAGTGCAACAGGTGGTGAGTTCTATTTTAGTTTGATTATGTGGATGGTTGGTGGGGGCTCTGGTGTGGTTTGCTCCTTTTTTCCTATCAGACAACTATCGCCTTTCTCTCCTTCTTTTTTATGTTTTTTTTTCTCTTGTAACACCTCTAGTCTTCGGAACTTATACGACCTTATTTTGTTGCTCGTGCCTTAAAACTCTTACTAAAACTAAAACGAGGACTTTTTTTTCCACAGCTGTTCAGTTTCACTCTGTGAGCAACATACTGAATTCTAACCTGTCTGGCCTCTGTGACCTATTTGGAGGAGTAATAAATCATGGTTGAATTAAAAAAAGACAGATTTTTAGTGGAATGATAAATTATGTATGTACACTTGAAATTTGTTTTTCAAATCTATTTACTCTTCTGTGGTGTTAGATATCAAGTTTCTATATTTCTATTTATTCTGCTTTAAAAAAAAAAAATTGTATTTTGTGTTTGATTGCCAAACTTTTCCCTTTCTCACCAAGTTATCCTTTACTTTCCTCCCTCTCAGAGCATTTGATTGTTGTTTCACTGAACTTCCAGTCTAGTAACTTGTACCATTTTGTATGCTGATAACATAACATCACTAGTGAGCATCTTTTGTGTCATGCCCAACAGAAGTAGGTAGCGTGACTGGAGATTGACCGTATCGCGAAGATCAAATAGACAACCAACTGATTTGCAGTGAATCAGCCTTGGTTTTACGTTTTGATTTGATTTTTTGTATAATGTATTCTCTTTCTTTTTCCTTTCTTGTCTTGTGTGAGTGCTTTTTCTTTTACGTGTGCTTTATTTTGTAATGAATGGCATTGTTGGTGGTGTGGGTCCCTGATTCATCATCATTGCCTTTCTCACCCTGGGTCAGGATACAGGCCGCGAACAAACACTTTCCACCTTTCCCTATCCTGGGCTAGCCTCTTGATGTTTTTCTATGTCTTTCCACTTTTCTGTACATCGACTTCTGTCCAGATTCCACGTTGTCTTCCCCTTGATCTTTTACCCTGTGGGTTCCAATTCAACTCTTTCCTTGTTATGCAGCTGCCTGACTTCCTGAGAGTGTGTCCAATCCATCGCCACCGCCCTCTTTCCACCTCATCTTGGACTGTCATGTTCTCCTTAACACTTGTCGCCGTTGGTGACAGTAACTTCCTGAGACACTTTTTCAAGAAAATCTGGATATTCTTTATGCAAATCTGAGATGCATTCACACTGGGAAAGATTATTATCACGAGTCTCTGTCTGTTTGGCTTTGTCATTCCACTCTGTTTGTCTGGGTTGGCCCAAAGAGGTATGGTCAAAGCTGCCGTCCTCCCAACTGATCTAAATTGTGTCAATGATTGAATTCAATGAGAATGTGAAACACTTTTACTTTTACTTTTACAGTCTATTTTATTCATTTATTTCTCAGGTTCCACTTATGCTTGGTGCTGATCAGCTCGGGGGTCTTATCAATCCAGTTCAGCAGGTAAGGCATCGATTGAAGAAAAAAAGACATATTTTTCTGTTACTCTTGTTTTCCCTTATGAAATTCAATGTCTTTCATTTTATAAAATATTTCTGCACTACAATACATAGAGACCAATTTGGTTTGAGACAGTGAGACGGCAGGGAGGTTATATGTTTCAATGGTATTGTAAAGTATCCGTTAATTATGGAACAATTAATTTTGTTTTGGTTGGGAAACATGTAGAAAGTTTAGACCCATAATAATATGGGTACAGTATAAAGCCTTGTCTGAGCTTAAATATGACAGTTTCCAAGACAATATTTTCTTATCTTTCTTTTTTGTGTACGAGTGATTGGAGGGCATTACTGGTTGGTCTTCTTACTTCTTCTATTTGGGCTCTCTGTTGTTTCTGTCTGTCTCTCGTTTCTGTCCCTAACACTAATAAATGGCCATTTTTGTTTTGATTTTCCTCTCTGTACCAAAACTTACAGACAAAAAGAAATAATTCTCGTTTGGCTCTGTCAGCAGATGTTGTTACAAGCTCAGGCTCAGAACCAGAACCAGCTGGTGGGCCAGTTTGTGCAGACGGAGAGCGGCCTGGTGTGGCAGCCCACGGGTGTGTTTGGTGGAGCCGAGAACCAGCCGGGCCTTGTGCAGCTGGGGCAAGGAGCAGGTAATCTCTATAGAAAGTGTTTTGAACCACTACTGAATTACAGTCGAACCTGTGTAAGATGGAATCAGAAGGGAGCCTGAAAAGAATTCCATCTTAGACAGGGGAATTTAAGGGAAAGATGGCGGGGGGGGGGGGGGGGGGAGGGTGTGTTCTATGGCCCAGCCAATGGGATCAAGGGTTGCTTGTTCGGTTGGCAAGGAGTGGTCAAAACTTTACACCTCAACTGCTGTCCTCTCTGATAATGACATAGGTGTCAGTCTTACTTATCCTATTACCGCCAGTGCTTGCATTTCATAGGACCACTGTTTGACCTATTAAAAACCGAAACGTTGGAACATCTCATTTGCTTCCACCCTTAGCCCCACCCATCAGTGTAACAAGCACAGTCAACCAATGCCACACCTTACTGCCATGTAACAATGATTCAAGGAACTTAGGGTGGCTTGCATTGGTCAAACTAATTTCACACCTCTGGCTTCTAGCTACCCAGGAAAGCTTCTGTGGTGGCTCGTTACTCGAGCATGTTCACTGGCAGTCGTGAGATTTCCCACCCCCACTACTACTACCCTGACCATCGGCACCGCTCAGGGCCTAGGCCTTCTCAGTTGGCAGGCCTAGCTCATGGCTCACATAGATGGGGTAACATCTTCCCCCAAATTGCACTCTTACTCCCTTCCCTCGCCCGGCTGTGGCAGCATTGCGTTAAGTTATGAGCTGGAGGAACCAAACTTGCGAGTTTTGTTTCAAATCAGGGCTGAGCGGGCAAAGCATTTTCCGCCTTAGACAGACTAAACCCGAGAAGGGAGCGGATTTTTTTTTTCAGTTTACGCGTTAGACAGGTTTCCGTTTTATACAGGTAATGTAAAGAGAGGAATTTATCGAAGGGGGAACGAGGAGATTCCGTTTTACACTGCTTTCCTTTAAGGCAGGGTCGACTGTTTTAGGTTTTGTGTGTATATATTCATAATGAAAGAATATTTATTTGTTGGGGGGGGGGGGGGGGTTGTTTGTTTGTGTGTGTGTGTGTATCAAGAGGCTAGCCCAGGATAGAGAAAGGTGGAAGGTGTTTGTTTGTGCCTTATACCCTGATGCAGGGTGAGAAAGGCAATGATGATGATGTGTGTGTGTGGGAAAGGAATCCTGCCAGAAATGCTGTTTTTATCGAATGAGATCCACTTACAACTCAGTGTTTGTTTTGACTGTTTAATTTTTGTATTGGATGAAAACTGTTTACAACCCAGAGCATTGGTTATGACATTTTAGTTTTCTATTTTTATTCTTTTTGGACATACTGGCTAGAGAGATGCAAGAAGTATTTATTTTTTTCGTAATAGTATTATCTCCCCCCCCCCCCCGCTTTATAACTATTATTGTGTGGATATGCTGTTTTTTAACGCAATCTGAAACTTAACCGTTGTGAATGGTTACAGTGGCAAGTCAGAGTCAGCCAACAGTGGAGACGAGTCAGCCTCAAGACTTCACCCCGGCCAGTGTAGCAGAGCCGGTCCCTGAGGCAGAGAACAGCGAGTCCCAGCAGTCAGCAATAGTCAATGGAGATTCTATGGTGAGTCTTTTCTTGTGAAAATAGGTCCGGAAGAAAATACCTGTGTCTTCATCATATCAGTGTCATCATTATTGTTGAACAGTGGGGAAAATACATCGTGATTGTCATCATAGGAACAATAATAATGATAATAGTAGTAATAATAATTGCATTTAGACAGTGCATGTCCACGCTCTAGAGCATTCTTCTTGGTGAAGTGAGGAAAATTTGTGTGAAGTGCCTTTCCCAATAACACTACGTCGTGCCACTGATGGGATTCGAACCCATGGCCTTATGGTTTTTGCGAGTTCAATAACCTAACCACTAGGACACCGACGCCACAAACCCTTCATTTTCTGTAATATCCAGTGTTTTATGGTGTGCCCGTGTGGTCACATTGACTGGTGGAATGCTATCTACATCTGTCCGGATCTAAAAAATTTAACATTTGCACCACTCTACTGCTGTTAGGTCCTACTTCTTAATTTTCCCTCTATTTGTTCCATCTCTTGGTCTTGCTTTTTCCCACTAAATGACTGTTATTGCATCAATATGCTTCTTAAACTCAAAATCTTTACACGGCGGCTTTTTTTCTCCCCCTGAAGCTTACACCTATTTTTAGAGTAATAATCTTTTTCTTTCTCATTTCAATTTTAGTCGTCAGTGCCAGGATCAACCAACACAACCACCACGTCAACACCTCAACCCGTTGGCCGCATCCAGATCGCAGCTGAAGATCCTGATGAAGATACGCGGCCGCTGTACGTGAACGCCAAACAGTACCACAGAATCCTGAAGCGACGGGCAGCCCGGGCGAAGCTCGAGAGTACGGGGAAGGTGGTGCGGAAACGTAAGGTCAGTGATGGTCAGTCACTGTTCTAAGCCTTTCACTGGACTGTAACGCTGTTGTCTACTGTCACAGTGGTGTGTGCTTTGTGTGACTTGTCATGTGTGTGCATATTTGGTGTGTTGACTTTTTTTGGTTTATAGTTTCTTAGTGAACTCTGGCTTGTGTGCAGTGATCAAAGTTCTTTTTTTTCTGAAAATACCAGGGTTTTTAATTTTCAAAGATTAACTTTTCATGGAATTTTCAATTGATTCAATAGCATAAATTTGTTGTCACCTGTGGTGTGTGCATATTTGGTGTTGAGTTTTCTTAGCTCATAGTTTCTTACAGAGCTCTGGTTTGTGTGCAGTGATCAAAATTCTTGTTTTCAGAAAATACCAGGGTGTTCTATTTTTAAGGGTTAACTTTTCATGGAATTTTCAATTGAGTTGCATAAATTTTCGGTAAAAGTATGGTTCTGGTCTGTTTTTGTGGATTGCCTTTTTTTCTCAAATTTCTCAAAATTTTGAAGTATTAGAAGTTCTCGTTTTAATCCTCAATCTCAGTGGCTTCTCAATTTTTTATTTTGCTTGAATCTTTATCGAGGCTTCAATTTTTTCTTTATCACCTAAATATATTGAGGTCCCGTATCATGTTCTGATCCATCCAGTACTCGGAGTGCTGAATAGGTGGCTTCTACCACTGGTGGGTCGGTCCTACTTCTTTTCTTTGCTGCTGTTGTTTTTGCATTTTCTTATCTTGATTTTTCCCTGCATGAAATTACCGTTATGGTGTCAATGTACTTCTTTTTACTTCATAACCCGAACTAGACGGTTTCGTTTTCTGGTTGGTTTCTCAAGATCCGTGAAAACTTCATCAGTATCCACAAGAAGAGAACTTTGGCTTTTTTTAAACTTCATTATTATGTCAGTTCTTTGCTGCAAGAAGTTTGTACTTTTTCGTTCTTCTCTCTGTATTCTGATTTAGTAGTGCTGCTTTTATACCTTGGTACTGCCTTTTGTAGTGGAGCCTAGGCCATTCTCGGTCACATGTAGAATATAAACGACTTTTTGTTCGCGAGTTGGAAGATTTTGTATCGAGTATCTCCATCATCCACTTGGACGTTATACTCTTGGCAGCTGCTACTACAGTGGGGTCATAATTTATTCTTCTAGAAAATTTTTTGAAAAGAAGTGAGTATTCGAGAGCGTCTCTGATAGGTCCCACATCTTTTTTTTTTTTCTTCTGTTGTTTTCTATTTGACTTTCTTGCTGTTTTCCCCCTTGTTTTAATGGTGGTGATAATGTAATTGTTCTTCTCTTTGCTTGAACCAAAGTGTGAAGAGAGTAATCCTGGGTGGTTAGATATTTTGCAACGTCTCCGTTACTGTTCCTCTTTGCTGTCTTTGCTGTTGCTTGCTTGATATTATGATATGTTTTGCATGGATGTCCAAATTATGAATATTTATTATCATTGCATGATAATAGAAAGAGAGTTTTAATGTAACTCTTCTTCATAGGAAATTATGATATATTGTGTTTGACCCAAGTTTCTATTTCGTGCCAATTATGTAAGTTTAAAGTAATAGATTGTGGTTGTTTGGAAGACGCCACTGGTAGGTCCTACTCCCCCCCACTGTTGCTTCTTTTGCTGGTCTTACTCTTTCCCACAACCAAATGATCACTTTTGTGTCATTATGCTTCTCTTGATCGTTTATTCAGACAATGGAACAATAATGGACTGTTTAAACTTATAATTGTCATATGTATTTGAAATCTTCATCCATTTAGTTTATTAGGTATATTTTGTCTGAGGACACTATCCCCTGCCAAAGTTTTGCAAAAAGGGCTGTATTATTCAAGAGAGCAAAATATATCCCATGTTCACAGTTTTTTTGCATGGCTTCAGAAAGATTTCCTGGGTTTTGTAGTTGCAGTACGATGATTCTGTTTGTTTCTCTGGGAGCTGATTTAACCTTACATTTTTTTTTTTTTTGGGTTGACTTATTGACATTTAATTTGTTTTTGAGTGTCGTACTGGAATGGAACTCGTCTGTATGGAAAGTAGCGGTACCAACATACAAAAAAATAAGAAGAAATAAAAGTGATAAAAGTAAGTCATTCGATGACTGTACCTTATCACGTCAGAAACTCCCGTCTGCTCAGAAAATACTCCCAATATAGTATATAGCTTTTGTAATGCAACATGGGTGTTGTAAGTTTTTGTAAAAAAAGCTGGTATGACCTTATGCAGTTGCGAAGCCGTAAAACCTCTACTAAAACTAAAACAAAAGAAAGCTGGGGACTGTTGGTGTAAAGGTTTTTTAATTATTTAAGGGCATCTTGATGTTTGGTCGTACTTCTTTGTTCTAGTTGTGTTGTCTCCCTTTCTCAACAGAAGTATCTCCACGAGTCTCGACACAAACATGCCTGCCAGCGCACAAGAGGCGTCGGAGGTAGATTCTTTTCCATCAAAGTTGAGAATGAATCGGAATTTGGGTTGAAAGAGGTAAGTGCTTACATATTACTAGATTTATTATTTAAACCCAAAAAAGTGGCTTTGGATAACGAGTTCTGGCTACTTAGCCAGTATTTTAGATTCCTTTACCACATTGCACTATAAAGGTCTGGACTTCCCAAATCCTAATGCAAGAGGAGGTAATTCACTTCCGGTAAATATTTTTTTAAAATGCGTTTCGAAAATACTAAACAAATTCCCAAAATTCTGAAAGATAGAAATGAAATTTAAGAGAAATGATTGTTGTTACCAAAAAATGTAACTTTTTTTTATGAAGAGGTTCTTGGAAATGTTCTACTTTGCTTTAAGTGGGGTGTCCTACGCGTCACTCTCTCTTTCAGCCTTGTGGTCGGGCCCTAGATCGTGCATCGGATAAATCCGAATTGCCCCCAACTCCTGCTACCTTTTCATCAATATCATGATTTGCTTGTTCTATCTCATGTCCATCGTCATTTGTTTGTTCTAGTTCAATTGTGTTGTTTTCAACTCGTCGAGACACCTTCCGAGTGTCGGAAAGGCAATCATATTTGATCGGCTCTAATACTAGAAGTACTGGCCCAAAAAATTTTGGTTTGTACAAAATCATTTTGCTAGCACTATCATCTCTCCCCCCCCCCCCCCCTTCTCTTTTGAGTACCGGTATTGAAACATTGTCCCTCCTACATTTCAGGAACCAGGCAGCCCCCACCTTATCCCAGACCACTCCATGGGCAGCGCTAGTCGATCGCCTTCTCCTTCACAGCCCCACTTACAGGTGGACGAGACAGACGGTGTCACAGTCAACGGTCATTTATGATGACTCGCTTCCCCCCCCCGCCCCGCCCCTGTGTTCTGTCCATGTTATAGTGTTCTTTCCCAGGGATGGGTGCTCTTCACGTGGTACTTTTCTAAATTCAAGATTTTTGGTGGGTGGTTACTTTTCACTCAAACACAAACATTTTGTGTTGTGTTAGAAATTTTAATGTTTTTGCATTAAAATGTCTCTGTCTTTTTTTTTTACCATCTCATAAACACGGGATGCTGGCTACATTCACGGCTCAGTTTCCGTCATTTTATTTGTTTGGACCCCTGTAGAGGTATAGTTAAAGCTCTCGGCCTGTCCAGAGGATTAAAAGTGTGTTACTTTTGCCAGAAGTAGGACTTCATTTGAGTGAATAAAGGAAGTTGTGGGTTAGATGTAGGCAGCCCCAGGGAATGCTGGTAAAAGTAAAGTATAACTCATTCCTGGTTTTGCGCATCACATTGATCGCAACCAGGTATTTTTCCCATTCCTGTAAGACACAGCTGCGACCCTGCCATGACCCTGGCTGTCGCGAACTAGGCCAATCTGTATCATAATATGGTGGACTATACTTTACCTTTATTGTTGAAATGTTTAGATAAAAGTGTTTAAGCTGAAGTGCAGGGTGCTCTCTCTCACCTCAGTTCAGAAGTTCAAGTTTATTTATTTATTTATTTATAAAAAAAAAAATTGTAGTAGAGTTGTGCCCATCCCTGGTAACTTGTTATGAAACACATGAGTCTACGAGAACTCAATCGTGATTTAACTTTTGACTTCCACTTCCATTGCGCCCCCCCCCCCCCCCGGAATACTCACAGCATTCGCTCGTGTTTGGTGCCTTCTTGGGATTGTGTTGTTGTGTATTCAACGATGATAAATGAGTTGTTGAATAGTTTGCAAGACTATGGTTCTAAACTTAAATGTGATTTTTTTTTTTTCAGAAAGAATAGTGGTGTTTTTTTTTTGTTTTAGAAAATTTTCTTCATAAAGAATAGTGGTGTTTTTTTGTTTTTTAAAAATAGTTCTATTTTATTTTTTGGGGGTTTAAATTCAAATGAAATCCAGCTGACATTGTGAAGTCGGTGCCTTTATTTTGTACATTCGTTATTTTTTGGGGTTTTTTTTGTTTGTTCATATGATGATTACATTCCTTTATCAATGAGTGGGCATGCCCACAACGCTTTGGTGCGCCTGCAGGTTTCCATTATGTGGCTCTATTCCTGTACGTCAGCATTAGCATGACCTTGTCTTTCATTTGTGTATACGTACGATAAGGTGTTGCAAAAGTGTGGACCAAGGGGAACATGTGTGATTTGACATGAGAGACGTAGAGGTGGTCAATGGGTGGTTGGAGAGAGCCACTCACTGGTGGTAGGTCCTGCTTCTTTTCTGTTCTTTTGTTGTTTTTGTCTTTCCATCTTACCCTTTCCCAACCTAAATGACTGTTATTGTGTCAATGTGCTTCTCTGTACTTAAAAGAATGAGTAGTTGTTATGTTCTTTCTCAGTAGTTGTATTTTTTTTTTAGTGAAGTTTTAAATTAATGTTTTTAGAAGAAGCTTCAAAGATGGAGGTTGTCTTATAGATGTTTTAAAAAAAGCAAATCAGAAGCTAAATATGAATCAACATCATTTTTTTTTTCAAGGATTGGGTAAATCTTTGTTGTAGTAGATCTCATGGAAATACTGGAAATATTATTTGTGCAGTCAAATAATTGGTTACAGGTTCAGAAAAAGCGTTTTAGTAAAAGGAAGCACTTCAGCACAGTGATGGTCACTTCGTACTAGAATTTGGGCTAGACAGACAGACAGATGGAAATTGCAGAGGGCAGGTAAAGAAGTAGGATTTGTAGGATTTCCCAATGTTGCCCTTCAACCACTCACAGGGTCCAGACTTTTGCACCATCGTCGTATATGTATGCCCTGTCACAAGCGAGTAGATATTATTGTGTGTGTAGTATGTGTGTGTGTGTAGAACGAGAGTGAACTTTGACCCTTGATTTTGACATGCCTGTGACCTACGGGAAGTGGGTTTTTTGTCTCTTGGTATAGTTTTTGTACGAATTTTATGAAATTTTTGCTTCACAAGTAGGTTTATTGAAGTGCCAAAGATAAAAGGTGTTGCTACCGGAGTGGAACATACAAAGAAAATAGAGAGAGATAAGGACAGTAGATGTTTGATGGGAAAATAGGAGCAAACCACACCGTGCTTTGCTGTATCTTAATTATCTCCTGACTAAAAGCACTGGGAATTTGCGCATGGGTTTGAAATGCTAATGATCTTCAGGTATATTTTTTTTTGCCCTGCGAAAATCGAAGTTGTAAATGATTTTTTCCCTCTTTTTTTTATAGTAAAAAGCGCTGTTATTTTAATGTACACAAATTAGAATGGTTAATACTATTGGGGTGACTGCTGTTTCAACAACAGCAAATGTTTCTCACTGACTGACATTTTTTCCGAGCTGCACGTTTTTTTCAGTGCTTTCGAACCCCCAAAGATGTGATTTAAAAATTGTATTGGTGGAGGTTCCCTGTGGACAGCTTTCAATTGCTAAATGCCTTCTTTACTATAAATTTGGATTTTCTGGTCAGGAATCTTGTAATATTTTAAAAAGAGCTAGGGAATTCAATGCCTTGAATATGCTGTTCAATGTGCAGATTGAAAGACATGAAAAGCTTTAAGATGACACTGCAAAAAAGCAGAGCAATACAGTGTATTATAAAAACTAGTTCTTATTAAGATCGGAATTTTAGCTCATGTGACTGACAGATGTGTGCACATTGTGTTATTCGGGCTGGAATATGATAAAAGGAATATCTGGGGAAAGTTCTTAAGCTGCATTAAGCATATTAAAAGCTGGCTATTTTTTTTTCTTTCAAATTTTGTTTTCTAGTCCAAAAGAGATTTATTTGTCTAGTCATCAGTGTTCCCATTTCTTATGTTAAGGATCAGCATTCCTTTAAAGTCAGCAGTGGAAGAAATGGTATTAATTTGGAAAAGTCACTGCTGTGGTGGTTCCTAAGACAGTAACAGTTGTAAAAACCTCAACATCCGTGAATTAATGGTATCAATAGGACAGTTTTACAAGTGATCTGGTCTCATTTGTTGATGATAACATTAACATGCTAGTATAAAAGTGCAATTTATATTACAGCTAAAAAAAAGTACAGTGGAGTCCGCTTATAACGAGTCCGGAAACAACGAGAAATCTTCTAAAACCCCGTTTTTTTCCTCTTCTTTACAGTTGTAAATAAAATACTGCGATAGCGCAATCAGACAAACATGCGAGTCGGTTATAGCGGAATATTGCTGCTGCAGTGCACAGTGCATAGGCCAATTTACATAATGTAAAACCTCGCAAGTTGACAAACTTTTTGGTGATCTAGCGGAGCAACAGAGTAGGGAGGTTGTGGCATGTGCAGACAAGCAGAACGCATTGTGTGATAGGCCAGCGTAAGCCTAGTTTAGATTATCTAGGCCTGCCATGCCTCTCACTTCTCCAATGCGGGGATGGAGAGGTCACAGCAATGTGATGGGTGGAGCGAATGTGTGACATACCCAAGCAGACATAATGCACCACAGGGTGTGATGGGGTGGGGGAAAACACAGCGGCCGAGTTAGGCTAGAGCCCTTTCTTTCTGATCGCCAACCCCAAGCTGTCAGTCAATATCGCTAGCGCTAGAGAAAGAAACCTGATTCGATTTTCGATCAAGTAAGACCCAGAGGTCATGTTGAAACAAAATCATCATCATCAGGGGAGATAGCAAAAGGAAATAAACAGAACACCAAACCCATAGATTAGGACTACTTTACAGTTTCCCTTGAATTTATTACTGGATCCCTTATAGCGAGAATCCTGCTATAACGGGACATTTTGCACCGGCCCCCTCCCTCTCGTTATAACAGGATTCCACTGTATTTAAAGAGAAGCTCCTTGGGTTTGTTTGTTCAGATTGCATGACTGAGGTGTGAACAAATGGAATGAATGTGAATGGAGAAAAAGACAAGCTTAGATATGCACACACACACACACACACACAACCACACCCGTTGCTAGGTGCTAAATGTTTTTTTTTGACCAATTCGTGTTTGTGTGGACGTTTGTGCCATGAAGCTGGTCTGCGCACTTACAGGATTGAAAAACTGCCATATTAATAATTATAGCTTTTGATGCGAGACCGCATACAGTCAGGTCTGTCCGAAGAATGGACTGTATGTTGTGATTATACCGGGTGACCCTAAAGTCTGAACATATGGGCCAAAAATGTATAATTTCAAGAAATGCTCCTAGAATTTTGAATATTTTATTCAGTTGGAATATTAAGAAAAACATGATCTGCAGTATGACTTCAACAACTGTTTTTAATGCAAAGGTCGATTGCCTTGCAAGATTCAGGAGAAGCAGCTGATGCAATAACTCTGCGATGGTGTCATTGAGTATAGCCACAATGAGATTTCCTATGTCCAGACTAATGTAGGGACAGCCTGTGTTTTGATGCTCTACTTATCTCTCTCTAAATTTTTCATGCAATTATTTTTCTTTTTTCTTTTTTTTTTTTTTTTTTTTAAATAACAGGGTTTTTTTTTTTAAGGTGCAAGGATTCGTTTTGTTTGTTTTTGTTTTGATTACCGAGGTTGTTTTCTTCCGGTAAAGTTAGAAGTGTGTGCTTCTGAAAGTTGTTTTATACAATGAAATCATGTGCCAGCTTAAATGACTAAACTTTGAAAGAGCGAAAAGGGTCTATCTTTGTCTTTAAACCCCCCCCCCCTCCCTTAGGAAATATGAATAGCAGAAAGATCATCATGTTGTTTTGTGCTGGCGTAGCTGGTGAAAACCTTTTTCATTGGTGTTGTGTGGTTTGTTGTAGTGTATGGCATGTAGGTTTAAAGAAGTAGTTTGGTCGGCAGCTTTTTCTCATTTCTTAATATCCTATGATAAAGTGTTCTTAATTTTTTATTTTACTTTATTTTTTTTAATATTTTTTTTTATAGGTTAAAGTAAAAGTCGGCATTAGTATCAAACCGTAGAATAGAAGCAAGGGAAAATATATAATGCGGTCCCCTTTGTTTTATGCAAGAAAAATTCTGAAATTATACAAACTGAGCCCAAAAATGTGAAATTATGCGATTCTGTTTTTTTAAAAAAAAAAAACAAAGAACGATAAAGGAAAATAATCAGAAATTATGCCCCAAAAATGTTCCAGTTTTTGCTAAATTATGCGGGGTGCATTAAACCACGGGAACAGATTGGTGTCTATATTTCTGTTACTGTGCTCAGCATCAGAACTCATGGTGGTAATTTCAATCTCGAAATTTTTTTAATTGCTGTATTCTTTTTTTTCTGTTGAGCTTTTGTCAGTGAAATGCAAGTTTAGAGAAGCCCAAATTTGTGTTCTTCTTGGATTCGGAGAGGGTATTATCAGTGCTGGAAATAATCAGATCTGAAAGTTTTATATTTATGTATTTCCTGCTTGGTGGTGACATGCTGCATATTGTTTAATAATTTTCATAGCTCATGATTTCTAATTTTTTGTGTGAAACTGTTTGATTCTACTTTGCTCCACTATTTAAGAAAAGTTTACCTTATTTTGTTTTGACCTAGTGACTTTAAGTTCCTCTTCCATTTTATCCCTTTATGCCAGCTGTCTGTTATCATCAGGCTTTTGAAACTGAGTTCTCTGCCTCGCTGTGCACACACACGTGTTGAATATGATAATGTTGCTCTCTTGATGACTTTAAATTGTGAGGCAGCGTGGTGGAATCAGGCTCTCGTCAAAATAATCAAAATGAAGAAACTTGCATTTTTCCACATGTTTGTGAATTTTTATCCAATTTTTGTTTTTTGGCTCAACTCCTTTCATGCCCATTAAAGAACTCGTTTTTGAGTGGATTTTTCTTAAAAACGTGGATTAAAGGCACAAAAAAATGTAAATTTTCAGTTACCACGGACTCTTAAGCTAAGGAAATAACTAATCT